TATAAAGATGTTTCCCTTACAGGGAGGAAAAACATTTTTATTTCATTTCATTCATCTTTAAGTTAACTCATTCAGTTAATGAGGGTCCATTTTTTGACCATTTTATCTTTTATTAATAATATTTCATTAAGATTTATTTCAAACCCAAGAAAAAGTTATTAATTACCTCAAATATAATCTAGGTACAAGAATGCTAGGCAAAGAATTCTTGAACTTTGACTACAGGAACACACTTGCAAGGATTGTTTAAAAAACTCATGGCCTTATCTCTGGATCCTTCCTTGATCACTTTCCTGAAGTTGGGGATTTTCCCTTTGAATATATGTTGTCACTAGGCCTCTCAAGAGGATTTCTTTCATATCCACATCCTATCTGGATATTAAAGCTCATGGATTTAAAATCAACCTTCCACAGAGACTGTCAGTATTCTAGGCACTTGTCAGACTATCACTTTGGACCTTATTGGTGCTAATCAAAAGCTCAGCTGAGATAAGAAATCTTTACAGAAGACTGCTTAACAAATAATAAACACCATTCATGCCTCTTCTTTATATACCTAAGTCTGTCTTCAGAAGTAATACATGTCCAGTGAAAAACCACTGACAATGTAAGAAAACACATGACAAAATAAAATCAACTTGTAATCCAGACCCACAGCTGATTAACATTAACATATGGTTCATAGGTTTCTAAACCTTTTTCTGTGTTCTTAAATATGTGTGTTAGTACAAATGCTATTTTGCAAACTATTTTCATATAATATGTAGTGGGTACCTCTTCAAGTCAATACATAAATATGAATATCATGTTAATGGAGGCACAGCATTTATTATAAATACCATAAATTTAATAAAAAACAATTTATTTAACCAAACCCCTTACTGATTTGAAGAGATTGGTCTCCCTAAAATTTTTGCTATTACAAAGTGTTTAAATAAATACCCTTGCACACACATCTTTATTTGGTTTTGTTATTATTCCCTTAGGAGAAATACCTAGAAGTGGAATAATGATTTCAAAGACTTCTCATTGATATTATCAAGTTGTATTCAATAAACCTTTAAAAAGTTGATATCAAAACCTTTGTATCATTAAAATGAGTATGATAGAAAATAAGTAATGACAATTTTTTGTGATAAAAAGTTTCTTGACATACAAATAATGCTATTTTTAAAAAATCACACTTTGGTATAAATCACACAACATGATCACAGATGCAAATAGTTAAATATTTGTATCATAAACCTACATAGATCATCTGAAAGTTAAGGACCACAAAAAGAAGTAATTGCAAAATCAGTCACTGGCTTTGGTCATGCCTTACTTATTCACATGCTAAAAGTCCCCATCTTGCTTAAATTGAGAGAGAGGCTTTCTCTGCTTCCCTTTGCTTATGGTGAGATCATATGAAATAGAGAAAAGATGTGGTATTTTAGTTTCAAGCTATCTTCACATACAAATTATCTACACTTAAAACTGGAGGAACCTTGGGGAAATCATTATACACCCTGAACCTTGACTTCCTTTGCAGTAAAAAATTAGAGTAACAAATTAGCTCAAAAGCCATCTACTCCATAAAGCTTTCCCTGACTACTCTGAAACTCCACTAACCCCTCACATCTAAGAAATTCTACCTCATTTGGTTATGTATTACATTGTATTACTCAAGTGATCTGTGTATGTTCATCTTTTATTTTTCTTGGTAGTACAAAACTCTTGGAGAGTCAATGAGTTTACACTTTTGTGAAATGGGTTAAGAATGGAGGATTGCAAAGGTACAGGTAAGACCCATCATTTCAGTTAGCAGTCATGGAATTGTAAAGATTAACTTAATACGGAGTAAATCAAACAGCTAACTACTTATGCTAGTAAATGGTCAGCAAATATGCTACTACTTGTATCTCTCACTTATCTCCACAGCATATTACAAACACTAAATACTAAGGATTAAGTTTTCACACTACTTTGTTATATTATTAAACTACTAAAATTAGTAGCTTACATTTGTGCTATTAAAATATTGATTAAAATTTAGTACAAATTGCTCTACTCAATTCATACCTCAAAGAACAGAATGACTTTAGGACTTTCATCAAAATCTCGAAGCAAATAAGGAAAGTTTTCATTAAATATAATTTGTTCTTCCCACTCTGGAAGTCTTGATTTTAACTGTTTAAAATCATATGGCTGGGTCATAATAGGAAGAATATAATCCACAGTTTCTTTCTCATAATAAGAAGAAACAGGGCGTTCACTGTTCAAAAAAAAATTCCATTAGTATTATTCTTTAAGATAATTTTGAGAAAAAAAAAAAGTGTTCACAGTGAGGTAACCAAAAATAATGAATAGCCATGATACATAGGGAAAAATTATTTTGATTGTCCATCTAGAAAACTGTAAGTTTATGAAACTTAAAAGTAGTAGTACTTTACTATCATCTTGCATTTATATACTAATTGTTTACAGAATCATTTTATTATAGAAATACAAAGCAAGAGGTAATGGCTATACCTTTTGCATACAGAGCTGGAATAAAGTACTCCCAAAATCTTAAAATGAATTTGTCATAATATTGTAAAGTACATTTAAATAAGAAAATGAGCACAAGATTGTAAACCCTTAGAGGTGTGCCATACTGAATAAATCAATGAATGACCTTTTTGATAATCTTTATGTTTCCCATCCCTGCCATCTTTCTGAGCACATATTTTTTTGAAGTCTAGTATAATCATTTAGGTTATTGTACTTTTTTTATTTGGGCCTTCAAGCATGTATTAGATAGAGAGTAATATTAGGAAAAAATTAAATTCAAGATTTATTTACCTCACCTGAGGCCCAAGTAACATATTTACTCCAAAAGAAAATGTGTAATTAGACAACTAAAGCATTTACAGTATAACATACAATGATTTACAGTGTAATTTAAATACCATAAATTAGTCATTAAGCTTGATAGAAGCTCTCTCAACTCCCCTCCACTTAAAATGAAGTACTGAATTAACAGATGTCCATTTCTTCTATAAAATACATGATCAATATAAATGGTTGATAAACATCTACAACTAATAAACTATCTCTAATACAAATCCATAGATACATTTCCCTTGATTTTCAAAGGCAGAAAAGAGAACTTTTACTATAGACAGTTTTGATTTCAAGGGTTGGCTATGCAATTTAAAAAATTACCTATCATCTTTCTTGACATATTGACCAGTATTCTCATCAACCACATGAATTTTTACCATCGGATGAGAAATCATAAAATTTGACTTAAGTCTATCAGTTCGGTGAATGTAAACTCCCAGGACAAGGTCATCATCGAGTAAACATTTGGGATAAACTGGACTATCTCGGTTTGTAACTTCATGAACACCATCACCGTCAGTGTCTTCATTATCATCTGAAATTGCATATATGGAAGAAAATCAACTTTACAATGGTTCCCATAACAATATATTCAACAATACATATTTAATTTACATATAACCTAATGTTTATGATCCATGATTGTTTTTGTTAACAAAGGAATTTCAAGGGATTAAAAAAAAAGCCAGACAA